AAAAAAAAAAAAAAAAAAAAAAAAAGAGTACGAAACAATCCGCTAGCAAGCTTGCTACTTTGTGTCAGACAAATAAAACAGACCTGCTGTGTGTTTTTGTCGCTCACAATTCAAATCCGCTACATTGTTTGAAAACACACTTACCCGAGGAGAAGATTAAAGGGCGGTGAACCGTCATTCGGGTACCTGTCAGAAAAGCCTGCTTGTTCATTTTAAATGCATCCAGAGAGACTTTAAACTGTATTTTCCACCGCTGAGCCGCCGGGATGATGGCCCCCTCATTCAAAACTCAACCAAACATGTATCGCCTCACACGCTACAACATGAACGGTAGCGCGAGGCCGACAATCCCCGCCTCTTCTCCCTTCCTATTGGCAGACTCCCGGAGTTCAGCAGATAACCTGTTGCCAGACGTGTGTCCTATTGGCTGCGGTTTCCGTCCTTCAAATGTATTTACGTACAAAGGTATGCTGGGGATGTTTATCAGCGGGTACCTTGATTGTCCTCTTTACAGTTGCATCATACTGTAGCTGGTCAATTAAACCTAATTGATAGAAGAAACAAATAGGACATGTGCTTATCTTTGCAATGCTTCCTTTTTCTAACCTGCCATGTGGTTTAACACCTCTGCACCGCAACGCTCACAGACTTATATCACATTTTGACAGTGAAATCATAAAGCAAGTAAATAATAACGCAAACCATTCTAATGATGACAAACTAGGTAATGGACCAACACTAGCAATGTCCTTATATTCCGTATAGATTTGCAGGCAACAGGATAGTCAATGGTCACTAAACTGAGTAGTATAAAGATAATATAGCCTATTACCTGTTAAACGTTGAATGTTGTTTTTTTTCTTCAAATTTGCCTAAGCTGTTTTAAATGTTATTTCTTCTTTAGTTTTTCCCCTTAAAAACTTCACGCCCATATAGAACACTGATGCCGGAAGAGTATGTTGTTAGGTTTAGAAAGCAGCCTATAGTGAAATTTTGAAGCATTGGCCAGTGATGGACAGAGCGCTTATCAGGGATCCTTCAATAGGTCATATGGCCACAACATGCACATATGGCGACAAACGCTCAGGCCGCACCTGCATGCAAATTAAGTCAAATCATATCTCTGCGATGAAGCTGTTTCCCGAGTTTAAATCGGTCTTCGTCAGTAGGCTACAGGTAGCAGCCTGCGTTAATCCTGAGAGTATTTTCCTGACTTCCTCATCATACATAAGGAGCTAAATATGCGCATGCTCGGTGCGCGCAGTTACCTGGGGACCTGTTGCTCAGCTGCTGCTATATACTGCGGTAAGATGACGCCTGTGTTAGACTTAAATGATGTCTGTCGTTATCCTTCATCGGACGTAAATGATTCGCCACAGACCTAGATGCTACGCTATAACAAGACTATAACCAAGCCGGATGAAAACACTACAACAAAAAAGTGGACACCACAAGTCGCCGTGTCTTTTACCTCAGTCGGATTAACTATCCAAAGCAGGTCACCCACTTGTGAGTATTGTTTTTGCTTTGTCTTTTATTCATTGTCTTTTTCAAAAAGGGTTTGGCAAACAGTGGTGAGATGGTCAGTAGACTCCTTATATTGAAATTCACGTTTATGTGGTAAAGGCTATAGAGAAACAGTGTGTTGCAAACTTATTTTCTTTAACAGTCAATGTTTAACATGCAGGGGTGATTAGATAATTTAGAAAATTTTAAGCGTTATAAATAAAAAAAAGAGGGAAAATAGATATATAGGGCATGTGAAGCCCTAACAAGCACAAAATATTCTATTGAAACCAAGTCCAAAATAATAAAGTGGGAGTTAATCCACTACATTCATATTACATGTTCCACACCGTGTCTTCAGGGGCTGTGTGCCTGTCAGCAGGTAGCCACGGGATGATGCTCTGAGTGTGTAGACAAGAGCAGATAATATCCCTCTGTGGACCATCACCAAGGAGACAGAACCTCTAGAGGGTTACCTGCAGTGTTAGCTATAAAAAGCTCTCAGGTACACCCATGCCACTGTAATGGTTTAGTCAGTGAAGAGTGCATTTTAAATGTGTTCTCTGATATCATTGCATTTAAAAAGAAATACATCTTGATGTGTTATTTTGACATGTGTGTGCAGGTGTGTCTTTGATTCGAACGCTAACAGGCAATGGGCAGATTCTGCAAATGCAACGGGAGACTGCTCTGCATGTGCCTGCTTCCCTGCATGATGACCGGCCACCTTCTGATTTATGTCCTGGTGTCCATATTCGTCACCATCTCCTACACGCCTCAGAAAATAACCGTCCACTACATTGCCTCTGGGGTTTCTGCTAACTCCTCTGCGCTGGCCTCTCACCCAGTTGGCCCTTTCTGGAACCTTCGTCTGGAGGACAGCGCACTGTGGAACCAGTTGCAGCATGCGTGGGACCGTCAGCACAACCCAATACTGCGAGGAAACACAACTGGGATCACGGGAGAGACGAAACTGAATCTTTTATCAGAAATCGAAGACGAATGCTCCTCCATCTGCATGTCACGCGAGTGTTCAGTCCCTCGTGTGCAGGATTTTAACAGCTTGCCAGAGCAAATGAGGGCGTTTATTATGGCAATGCACTGCAGGGAGTACCCCCTCCTTATCAATCAACCTGGTATGTGTAGGAGGAACAGTAGTAGCCTTGGTTTGGATTCTCCCATGCTCCTCATGGCCATCAAATCCCAAGTGGGGAACTTCGAAAACAGGCAGGCCATCCGGGAAACATGGGGACGCAGTGGCCTGGTGGAGGGAGAATCGAACAAGAAGGGCGGATTGGTGCGCACAGTGTTTCTCCTCGGAAGGCAGGACTCAAGCACAGGTCCTCACCCGGACCTCAAAAACCTCCTGGAGCTCGAGAACCAGAAATACGGGGATATCCTGCAGTGGGATTTCAGAGACACCTTCTTCAACTTGACCCTGAAGGACTTGCTGTTCTGGCATTGGCTCCAGCAACACTGCCCCACGGCCATCTTCGTGTTCAAAGGGGATGACGATGTCTTCGTTCGAACAGGTGCCCTTCTGGATTACCTGCACAAGCAGTGGGACGAGCACAACCTGTGGAAAGCCTATACAAATAAAACCAACCTGGATCTGTTTGTGGGGGAAGTAATCTATAACGCAATGCCCAACCGTGAGCCGTCCGCTAAATATTACATACCAGAACGTTTCTACAAAGGCGGGTACCCACCGTACGCCGGCGGAGGAGGGGTGGTGTATTCTGGCTCACTTGCATTGCGATTGAAAGACGTGTCCGAGAGGGTGCGCCTTTTCCCAATAGACGACGTGTATCTGGGCATGTGCATGCACAGACTGGGGCTCTCCCCAAGCCATCACCCGGGCTTTTTAACATTTGATCTCCCAGAGACGGACAGGGGAAATCCCTGCGCTTACAGATCCGTTCTGCTCGTGCACAGACGGAGTCCCAACGAGATGCTGACCCTGTGGAAGCAGCTCCAGAGTCTGCCAGGTCACTGCTGAGGCTCATTTGCCTGCCAAATAGGATTCCTTCGAGTACAGGTTGACTGATGCCACCACACTCATTTAGAAAACGCACACTCTGTGACTGCATCTTCCTGTCAAGCAGGCAGAACCACATGAAGTTCAAATGCAACGTACCTTTCCTCCGAAGAGTTACGTCACACTGAGGAGGAGACTGATCTACCTCAAAGTGTACTTATATTATGAGGGCATTACACAATAAGGGCGCGTACATGCTACTTTTTTAAATAAATCAATACAGGTGTGCATTTGTACCCTTTCAACTTAAAAGTTTTATTTTACTACCCAATAAATAACATATACCGTACATGTTGTTTCATGATATTTGAAGAGAATACTGTGTCACGTGTTCACTGGTTGACATGAATTCATTTGTGTTTTCTCTTGTTTTCCTCATGTTTGCTTTAAGTTAGCAGTTCCATCTCAGATCACATCTTAAAATGTCTCACATCCTCTTCGGCACATATTTAAAATGCAACTGATCCTTTCTAATCATTTTGTAACTGCAGTGATGATTTGTCACAATGCTTGACTTTGACAGGGGTTACCATTTGGCCAGCGAGTATACAATGTATAGAAGAATTGTGTTAATAATTAAAAAAAAACACTTTTCACTGGAACCACTTATTTACTGCACAACATGTTGCTGATTTTAAAAGGGGTACATTGTTTTCCACTCATGTTTTCTACCTATTTGATTTTCAATCGTGAAACAGTTAAATATGCCTGACTGGTAATGTTAGCCAATTGACTGTTAATTGTAAGATTTTGTCTTTGAATCGGAAGAGACGGAGTTGTCACTTAAGATGAACACAAACGACAACAATGCTATTTGTTTCTCTCCTCAAGGATTCCAATTAAAAAAATGTATGATATTCAAAAGTAAATAAATGTTTGTCTCTGAAAGCATGCCTTTATTGAACAGACTTGTTTATTTATGTTGTTTATGGTGTTATAATGAAATTATATTTTGTTTGCGATCCTCTTACAATAATATGTCTTTAAGAAGGCAGACATGAAGTCAAAATGCAAAACGTTTCGCAGCTGATAAACCACCATCATCGCAAACCCAGCACAGTGATCAAATTTAACTGAATGTTTATTAATCCACAGTTGTGAGTGTAGCACTAAAAAAAGATATCGGACTGTTTAGTGTTTGATGCTCCACTTCATCCTTGATCACTGCAGAGGTAAACTGCTTTGCATGTTTGTTTGGCTATTTCTACAGGATACACAGGGGCTACATATTTGGAAATATTTGCATTTGGAAATGCAAATTATGCAAAATGTTTTGTGACCATGAACAAAGCAAACATTCATATAGTCCTTATATTTACCAGAAATAAAGGAAAACCAGGAAGTAAATATACTACGCATATTTTAAAGGTACAACAAAATTAAGTAAAGTATAAGAACCGTCTTCATTTACCCTGCTGGAAGATGAAGAGGAGGAGGTGGGAAATGAAACCCCAGATGAAGAGTCTCCTCCAGGGAGAATGAAAGCTGTGGCAGAAAAACACCAACAGAAAGAGAAGAGAGATAAGATACTGAGTGTGACTGGGTCCTCACTGAACTATTCAGCAACTATTCTGTCTGCTATTCTCTTCATTGTATTACAGCATATTCTTCTGTGGTGTCTATCATTGATTTTGGTTCTAATAGGCAGACAGTGGCTTCAGAGTAATGTGCTTGAAGAGGAAGATAAGTCTATCTAAGGACCACAGGAGGAAGACTACTGAGCTGCTGAACACTAATGAGGAAATGGAAGCAAGGTGAGCTACTGATGTAATTACAATTCAATTCAACTTCAAAATTATATTCCAAAGCTGCTCAGCTTTCCTACTAGTGGTAAAACTACTGGTGCTGCTACTACTATGAGCTGTTGTTCTCTGTTGTACCAGGACAAACTGGACAAAGAAAACCTCAATTAGTATCTTTCAAATCGAGCTACAAGTGGAGGTAGAGACAGTAAATGATCACGGCAGGTAAATATACACTTAACACTAATAAGTTTTAGTGACATCTAGTGTTGAACTACTGCAAATACATGAGGTTCCTGAGAACACAAGAATGATCCAGTGACTTTAGCACTCCTGAGTAATTGTTCTCCCTAGTGGAAGGAATTGGTAGTGACAGGAAAGTTCCTGAAGACTGGACCTCCTCCAGTTAGAATATAAAAGCTGGGACAGTCCCACTGCAGAGACAGAAAGCAACACAGAAGAGAAGACATTTTAACAACAATAGATATTTGAACAAACACGATCGACCTGGTGACTCACTGCTCATGAGTAACAGCTCTGTAGAGTAGAGAGCTGTGGAAAAATTAAACACTTACTGCTAATACTGGTAATAGATGTCATGTTGGAATTATAAAGTTATCTTAAATGCCAATTATATAAAAAGCATGCTATTCATTTACAGATGAAATAATTATGTTTCACTACCAAAATATAAGTGATAATATGCACAAAAGTAACACACTTCATTAAAAACGTGACAAAAAAAAATTTAAATTTTGTTTTGTTTATTTATCATACAAAAACATCTATAATAATCTGTTAACACTTGTGTGGAACACAGTTCTTATTCATTGTTTCAACAGCATGCCGATGAGTCCATGTCCTCAGGTTTGTCCTGTGTGCTGCTGCCTTGTGTCTGAACACACACTCTGCTGTGTCTTCTCCTCCAAGCTCCTCTTGACAGTCAGCACTCTCTCAGCCTCCTCCTCACATGGAGCTTTGGCAGCCTGGATGTGGAGCTTCCCGTCTGGATCCAGGTAGCAGGTGAGGGCCTCAGGGTTCGGCCCTTCAGGCAGATCAAACTCCTGTCTGAACTCCTGGCGTCTGTAAGAGTAGGAGCCTTCCCCGTCCTCCTGCTTCTTCTCTGTCTTCCCGCTGACTCTCAGCTTGCGGCCCATCTGCCTGACAGACAGCTCCTCTGGGGGAAATCCTCGAGTGTCCAGGGTCAAGCCAAAGTGCTCTCCCTCTCCCTCCAGCTGGCAGGAGACCGGATGCAGGGCCGCACTGGTTTGGAAAGGCTCCATCTTCTCCAGGGTCTTGTGTTGAAGTTTGTCCATCAGCTCCAGACTGTGGAGCTCCTGTAGGTTTCTCTGCAGTAGATCCTGCTGGTGGAGCAGAGGTTTGACCTGTGGCCACAGACTGCGTACAGGCCAGTAGAAGTCCATGAATGGACTGAGGGCAGACTGGAATCCATGAGAGTACAGCATCTTCAGTGTGTCTTTAGTGTTGAGTCCTCTTGTTAAAATGTCTTCTCTTCTGTGTTGCTTTCTGTCTCAGCAGTGGGACTGTCCCAGCTTTTATATTCTAACTGGAGGAGGTCCAGAGTCTTCAGGAACTTTCCTGTCACTACCACAACTCTCCACTGGGGAGAGCTGCTTCTCTGAGTTGTGGACGTCACTGGATCGTTCCAGATCGATCAGGAATGCTGCTGTTTGAAATAAACTGGGGCCAACGTTATCAGTACAAATGAAGATTTGACCCACAATACAGAATCAAGTTAAAAAAATATGATATCTGAAATGTACTCTATTTGGTTCCAGAGTGTCATAAAGTGTAATGAATTATAAAGATTTCCAATAATGCCGCTCTCTAATCTTCATAAATCAGCACTCCATTATGTAATTTTAAATTTGTGTGTATGTGTGTGCGTGTCTCTGTATTTTTTCTTTTTTTGCAATAAGGTTACATTCCAAAAATAAATACATGCTTTCAAAATTGGTTTAAAATGTCAAAGATAAAAGATAATGAAAGGTTGCGTTCCTTTATGTTGAAGAAATAAGGATTCAAGGAATTCAGGGAACACAAAAAGATATCAGCGAAACATCTTTTTAAAGAGACCTTTTCTTTTTTCTATCATACATCAACTAATTTATATAGAAATAGGGTGACTCCTACATTACCCTACCAGCTACTTCCGAGGGAATACCAGAATCCAGGAGAGACAGCCTCTACAGTGGATGTTTGGTCTATTGAGTGTCTCAGCATGAGACTGTACAAACTTATTGTTTATGTTCTGCACATCATTTCCTCACATCCTCTCCTTTCGTTTGCACATGCAACCACTAGATAGCAGCCTTTCCTCACATAAACATTTACCTGCAGAACTATCCTCCAAACCCCAGCTGCTACCACTAGTTGTCAGCCTAGTTTAACAAAAGATCACATTCACTTACTGACACATGAAAAAAAGCTTCCCTATACATCTATTATACACAGCTTCTACTTGACACCAACTGTTAATTTGTACTTTCCCCTCATTATTTCTACCACATATGCTGGTTTTAGTGTTGATCAAACACAAACATATTTATTTTATTATATATGACATGAGTAAAATAGCAGCTGTTTCGTCTTTAAATACATATTTAAATGAAAAAAAGTAAGTAAAACACAGATGAGTTGTTCTAGATGAGTTCTTCGGTGACCTGCTGTGAATGTGATATTGTGATATAATTGAATATTGTTTTTTTTCACTTGCTAATAGTAGTTTCACACCTTTCACCTGCCAGGATTTAATTTATTTATCCGGTGTACTGAGAAGACTGATACAGAGGACTGCGCATTAAAGTAGGGCAACAACAACACAGAAGGCAGGATTTCAACCCACAGTCTTCTCTTCAACACATTTTTTACCTCCAAAAAAAAAAAAAGAGGATCAAACCTGGACTGGCAAACACAGCGATTTGCAGCTCGGGATATCGTGTCAAGGCTGGTGTCAGTATTTTTGACACAAAAAGAGAATATATGAGTTATTTGAGGTTGGGGGGGGGAGATACTTCTTTTTTTTTTTTCAGGCGTTCACCTTTGGATGAACTCCCCAAAGTGAAGGCAGGCTAGAATTGAGGAGGAGGAGGAAGAGGAGGAGGAGAACGAAAGATAACGGAAATAGAGGAAGGATGAGGAGGAGGATTAGGAGGAGAAAGCAAGGCTGCCATGTAAATCATCCTCATTGTTCTCCTGATGCTGCTTGTATGCACAAACACACACCTATATTGAAGTTGCCGGGACAGCATCAAAACACACATGCAGACGCACACACACACAATCTCGGGCACAAACTTGCACTTCCTTGTTCCTGTCTTAGTTTGTCCCTCACGAAGATGGTTTTTAATGCGCCATAATCCCCCTCTCTCTCCCCCGAACACATAAAAGAGATATCCTTCTATCTGTGTAAGTGGTTCTGACGGCCACCAGCTAATCACAAACACACACACACACACACGCACACACATGCACACACACGTAGAGCCGCCAGCTCATCAGCATGCAGTTATTCCTTTGGCGCAGGATCGCAAGCTGTTAATTGGCTGCCAAGCAGAGTGTGTGTGTGTGTGTGTGTGTGTGTGTGTGTGTGTGTGTGTTTGTGTCTGTACTGCAGAGCCGGGGTGGCTTAGAAATTCCCGTCACGTATCCGAGCCTCGATTAAGACGTTGCTCCAGTTTTCGAACAGACAGACATGTGGGGAGGAGGGGAAGAGAGGTAGAGAGGGGTGGGTGGGGGTGAGAGGATGCAGCAGGGGGGGAGAAAGATGAGAGAACACCAGAGGAGTGGGATGGGAGGTGATGAGGTGGGACTCGGCAACAGAGGGGGAAAAAAAGTGAAGGGCGAGTGAGAGAGAGGTAGTGAAATGCTGCAGTGGTTCTGTGTGTAGGACCCGTAACTGATAACTCTGCTGTACTGCCTTCCTTATCGCTATTATTGAGTTGCAGGAGAGGAAGAGTTATTCCAGGCGTCTAGTGGAGAGTTCCAGAGGTAAACAGCCTGTTCCTTTCCTGCAGTGTTGGGAGACTGGCACTGGTGCACCTCCGGAGTTTTGGAAAGGCATCTCCTGGTTGAATCTTCAGTACAAAGAACTGAGTCGGAAAATGTCGGATCCATTGATTAAAAAGTCAACATCCCAAGTGAGTTGGTGATGATGGCAACAAGCTGAACACGCGCGAACCCTCGCAATAAAGTGTCGCTTTAGTTCCGATCTGTCAATCTCCTGCCAATGCACCTCATTGGGAGTAGGTGTCTTGGTGCCAGATCCAATGCTCTGCTTCAATTTTGGATGAATTCGGCAACCGTGGTGCGGTGCTTTGTTTCCAACTGCGACGACGAACCATTTTGAATTTGTTATCGCTCTGATTCCCAACCCTGACTAGCTTCCTCTGTGCGGTAATAACGACCCAAGGGGAAACGCACACTGGCAGCATACGACAAAAATGTCATCCCAAGTAAAATGACAGAGTCAGTCGTTTCAGCAAATTCCCCCAAAAATGACATGTGCTTACGTTCAAGTGAGGGCGTAGAAATTATGACTCTGTCAGGAGCAAAAGAGAAAGTAGTGCTGTGTTATTTTGGAGCCACAAAGTCTACAAGGGGAGGAAGTCAGGGTGGATGGACACGCGAGACCGCTGTCCGTCTCTAGTTTCCCACCAACAGATAATGTTGGTTTCTACCAACGTATCCTTACACAACGGTTCGTATAACAGTTACTCCTCATTTTATGAGCATTTAACTACGTAGTCCAACAGCACGTGTCAATTTCAGCACGTTACATGCATACATTGTAGATTCAGGAAAAATAATCGAGGTTTGGGGTAAAAAAAACTATGGAAGTGACTTTTTTTTTGTAGGTATAGTTAAGAACGCTGTATGAGAACAGCCTGTTTCTTCTAAACATGACCTTCCTCCTTACCTCACCAACAGGTTATTACATCGTAACCCAAACCCAGATGTGTTACAACCGTAACCAAGTTGTTATTGCGCCTGAGTCAAACCGAACCATAACTATAGCTTTGTCGCATCATAAATACTTGTGAACAGTGATTTGTAATGTTTTGAGGTGAAAAGATACTGATTCAGAATCAGCGGCTCCTCACACTTCTCAAACCCCATGAGTGAGAGTGACAGAGAGAAACAGTTAGCGGAATAAATTATGGACAACATGAAGAAAACTGCGAGAAGCTCGGTACGATAATATATTACAAAAATAAGAAAAAGTCAGCAAAGCAGCTACACAAAAACACAGGCACACACGGTGTGTCAGAGAGATGGCAGGGTGATAATTTAAAGGTTATGGATTCTGAACTTTTGGTTTTATCCCCTAATGAAGCCATGAGAGACTGCTCGACGTTTCTGGGTCACACGTACGCACCGAGTCACACGATACACAAACTCGCTTTCAAATGCATGTGCATATACTGCACGCACACACACACACACACACACACACACACACACACACACACACACACACACACACACACACACACACACACACACACACACACACACACAGCAGTGCAGATCGCCTGTTATGCAATCATGCCAGAGAGAGTGAGAGTGAGGACAGACAGCCCTGCCGAATCAGACACCAAGCAGTAACACATGTCTCACAGCTGTCAGTCAGACACTGACTCCATGTTGCTCTTTCCCAGCTGCAGAATCCAAATGGCTTGTTTTGGTTTGGCGCTGACAAAAAAAAAAAAAAAATCATCTGTTTAAATATTTTGATTTCAACCAGAGAGGCTTTATCATTTCATGCCTAGTCAGATGGGGTTGGTAGACAACGACTGCTCAGCGGCTTTGCAACAGACAGAAACAAGGCTTTGTTGGCGCTTGAGCTGACCCTCGGTGGCATGGAGTCAATGGTAGCACAAGCTCGCAGTTCCTTAACCAATGACATTAAAAATGACCATTAGTATGGAATTTAATGAGATAAATCAAATGATACCATCTCCCCTAATTTACCTCATTTGTTACCTTTTTTTTGTTACCTTTTTTTTTTGTGACTTCCTTAAAAGGTCAGAGAACAGGGTTAATTAAAGAACCTGCTATCTTTGCTCTTTTGTGAAAGCATTTGCGTTTTTTTCTCGGCTGCGGTGACCTTGATTGTCCTTTATTTCACACGACAGTAAAAGTAAACGTGCCCCCCCCCCCTACTTTTGAGGACTCGCCGTGTGAGGGTGTGTGTGTGTGCGTGTGTGTCTTTGCGATGGTCCGTGGTCTAAGTGATCTCAAGGTGCTATCATGTTTGTTTGATGGAGGATAATTAAATAGGTAATAGAAACCAGCCGGCTCTCATCACTATCGATTAATTTGCAGCACACACACACGCACACACACACACGCACACACACACACACACACACACAATACCCTAAAGCCTCTGGTCTCTAAGAGGAGATGTCTGATACTCCCACATCAGCTATCAACAAGCTTT